GATTTACAGGGAATTCTTTTGTGAACCAGAAAAAAAATTGTCTATAGAAGTCGCAAGTGTTTTTCTTCTCAGGAGACCTCAATGATTTCCATGCTGCCCGAAAAGCTAGACTGACTGCCCACTTTCCCCAGCTCTTCCCGCGACCTATTCTCTGACATGATGCTCTCTCCAAATTCCATTTGGCAGCTTCTGCGTTTAAACTGCTTTTCAAAGGGGCTCTCTTCGTGCCAGCTCCGCCGCGAGTCAGCTCTGTCACTTGGCTTCTGCCGCCTGCGCACAGAATAGACTTGGTCCCCGCAAGTGGGCAGCTGGCTGCAGCTGTAGGCAGAGTAACTGGCACTGCCTCCATAGATGGCTGAGGCAGAGTAGAAGTGTGAGGACTCCGTGGCAAAATACCAGCTGCTGGTCAGGGAAGGGGTAGAGGTCTGGGGGGCCAAGATATCTGAGTGCCAGCCCTTGAGGCCCAGGCCAGCAGACTTCGTGAGGTGCTGCTGGCTGGTGGAAAGGCCAAAAAGGAAGCTGGTATGGTAATTGTCCTCCACGCTCCCACTTCGATGCAACGGAGATAAAAGAGACCTCTGGGTGGTACCGCTGCTGCCGGTTCTGATCGGGTGCAATCGCTTGCTCTGGCTGTCGGAAGGCCTGGTGGTCGGCGGCTTCTTGGGGATGCTGGCTTCCTCCTTGTCGGGGCTGGTTTCAGGAGTCTGTTCCGATAGTTCCTGAACAGGGGAGAATTGGCATAGCTTGTTGGTCCCATCCAGAGTACTGGAAGGTTTGTAGTATTCCAAAGCATCTTCTGATGAGGAAAAGCCATGTAAGGACGCTGCCATGCTGGCTGAATATGAAACTGATTTGATATCCAGAGAGAAGGAACGCTTGAGCTTATTGCTGTCTTCTAGCCTGTCTGTGGACAGGTGCAGCCCACTGAGTGCCTGTACCAGCGGACTGTCCTCCAACAGCGGCGGCTGCATGCTGGGCATGCTGGTGGGATGCACAGGCCTTTGCCCTGCTGCCTCTGAGGTAGCAGAGTCGGCAGAGGGTGGACTGAGGGGCGTCTCGCTTTTCTGTCCACCCTCTGAGACGGCAGGGACAGGGTCATTTGGCTTCTCCAGGTGCAGCAGCTTGAGTTTGCTCTTTGGCCCTGATGTTCCAGTCTGGTTCTTAATCTTCTTCTCATAGTCCAGGAGTTGGCCCAGAAAATTGAAGTTTGGAGATATAGTAGGTCTTTTTTCTTTCACAAATCTACAGAGAGAGAAAAAAACAAAAACCTGAATTTTACAACTATATCTTTTTTTGTTTGTTTTTGAGGCGAAGTCTTGCTTTGTCACCCAGGCTGGAGTGCAGTGGCGCGATCTCAGATCATTGCAACCTCTGCCTCCTGGGTTCAAACTATTCTCCTGCCTCAGCCTCCTGAGTAGCTGGGACTACAGGCGTGCGCCACCACGCCCGGCTAATTTTTATATTAGTAGAGACGGGGTTTCACCATATTGGCCAGGCTGGTCTTGAACACCTGATCTCATGATCCGCCCCCATCGGCCTCCCAAAATGCTGGGATTACAGGTGTGAGCCACTGTGCCTGGCCAACTATACTTTATCTTAAGAATATTAAGTGAATAAATGAGACAGGGCATTAACAGGCAGACCTCAAAAACCTCTGAAAGATGATTGGTTTAAAAGTTCAGGGAGATGCCACAAGGTGGAGAATACAAAAGACCCAGGTGTTGGGGAAGCTTTGCACACATCCCTGGAGCATGCCAAAGAGAGGCAGCCAGGCACCAAAGGCCCTAGTTTTTGCTTCCTTATTTTCAAGGGCCAGGGCTCCCAATGCAACTGATAAGAGACGATATGGGGTTTTGTTGGTGGCAGTCTTTTCTTAAGAGACAGGGTCTTGTTCTGTCGCCCAGGCTGGAGTACAGTAGCATACACACAGCTCACTGCAGCCTCGAATTCCTGGGCACATGCAGTCCTCCCACCTCAGCCTCCTGAGTAGCTGAGACTATAGGATCACACGCCTGGCTAATTTTGTGTGTGTGTGTGAGAAAGGGTCTCACTGTGTTGCCCAGGCTGGTCTCAAACTCCTGGGCTCAAGTGATTCTCCCACCTTGGCCTCTCAAAGTGCTGGGATTACAGATGTGGGCCACCAGGCCTGGCCTAGAGATGATTACTTATTCATCACCAACGACACCCCGACATACACACACCAGTGCTACTATCAAAAGTACAGTATAGGCCAGGCATGGTGGCTCACGCCTGTAATCCAAGCATTTTGGAGGCCAAGGCGGGTGGATCACCTGAGGTCAGGAGTTCAAGACCAGCCTGACCGACATGGTGAAACCCCATCTTAAAAAAAGAAAAAATTTACAATCCCACCAACAGTGTAAAAGTGTTGCTATTTCTCCACATCCTCTCCAGCATCTGTTGTCTCCAGATTTTTCAATGATTGCCATTCAAACTGGCATGAGATGGTATCTCAATGTAGTTTTGATTTGCATTTCTCTGATGACCAGTGATGATGAGCATTTTTTCATGTTTGTTGGCCTCATGTATGTCTTCTTTTGTAAAGTGTCTGTTCTTATCCTTCGCCCACTTTTGAATGGGCTTATTTGTTTTTTTCTTGTAAATCTGTTTTAGTTCTTTGTAGATTCTGGATATCAGCCCTTTGTCAGATGGGTAGATGGCAAAAATTTTTTCCCATTCTGTTGGTTGCCAGTTCACTCTAATGACTGTTTCTTTTGCTGTGCAGAAGCTGTGGAGTTTGATTAGGTCCGATTTGTCTATTTTGGCTGTTGTTGCCAAAGCTTTTGGTGTTTTGGTCATGAAGTCCTTGCCTACGCCTATGTCCTGAATGGTTTTGCCTAGATTTTCTACTTTTACACTGTTGGTGGGAGTGTAAATTAGTTAAACCATTGTGGAAGACAGTGTGGTGATTCCTCAAGCACCTAGAAATAGAAATTCCATTTGACCCAGCAATCCTATTACTGGGTATATATCCAAAGGATTATAAATCGTTCTACTATAAGGACACGTGCACATGAATGTTCATTGCAGCACAGTTTACAACAGCAAAGACCTGGAACCAACCCAAATTCCCACTGATGATAGACTGGACAGGGAAAATGTGGCACGTATACACCATGGAATATTATGCAGCCATCAAAAACAATGAGTTCATGTCCTTTGTAGGGACATGGATGAACCTGGAAACCATCATTCTCAGCAAACTGACACAAGAGCAGAAAATCAAACACTGCATGTTCTTACTCATAGGCGGGTGTTGAACAATGAGAACACATGGACACAGGGAAGCATCACACACTGGGGTCTGTCAGGGGGAATTAGGGGAGGGACAGTGTGGGGTGGGGAGTTAGGGAGAGATAGCATGGGGAGAAATGCCAGATATAGGTGATGGGGAGGAAGGCAGCAAATCACACTGCCATGTGTGTGCCTATGCAACAATCTTGTATGTTCTTCACATACCTAAAATGCAATAAAAACCTAAAATGCAATAAATAAATAAATAAAATATACCATCTAGCACAGGCAAAAAAAAAAAAAAAATTTAAAATTTAAAAAAGTACAGTATAACAGCCACTCTCCTTCAGTTTCCAACGTCATCCCCTCTCAAAGTCACCAGTCACTTCCCAAGACAGTTCACATTTTAAATTTAATGACAAAAAGAAGATGGTATCAGATGATCAAAGTATCAAAGCAAGACTTCTTTTTATAGTCAGCATGACAGAATAACCAAGACAAAGTGGTCTCTGTGTGCTAAGCACAATGCTTACGCACCAAATCATTATTTAGTATTTAGAACTACCTTTTATCAGGTGGGTGTCATTATCCCCATCATACAACTACACAGAGTCCTTAAGTGACTTGCCCGAAATCACACGGCTACTAAATAATGGTGCTGGATTCAAAACCAGGCTGGTCAAATGTCTGGGTCTATATTTGTAACCACCATGTTAAAAACAGATTCATCAAAGGACCAAAACTAATACTAGATGGCTTTCATGTTTCATGGATGATATAAGAATCAGCGATGACAGACAAATTCTTCAGCAGCCCCTGCACCTCATGGATACTTTTCAGGTGATGCAGGAGTAGAACTACACTGCAAATTGGCATTTGAATAAGAAACAAGAAAAACAAAAAATAAACATGGAAATCAAGTAACCTAAAGCAAATTCATAAAAATAGAAATAACTGACTCAAGAATAACAAGTATAAATGTAGCGTCCTCATAATGAGACTTCATGATGTGACGTGATACAAGGGTGCCTTTTCTTCTGATTTCTACACGGAGCAAGAGAAGCCTGCACCGGGGCAGAAGAGCTTATGTGGGTGACCGGAGGACTCATCTCCTCCAGGCTCCTGACTTAATGGGAAACTGGGCAGCTCATGTCTGTTTTCCAAACTTTCTAATTTGAGAGAAAAAAAAAAAATCCAACTGTTAAATCAGGCCTGCTCCATGAAGTCTCTATATTTTTTATTTCTTATCAGATAAAAATGAACCATCTCTACCCGACAAGACATGCAGGGGAATCAGATTAATCAGAGACTGGAGGCAACCCAGTCAAAATCACACACATAACCTGGCCCACTCTAGAATGTAGGAAATTTTACTTAAAGAATGGAGTCTGACAGTTATTTGGTTCATATTTGCATGTATTAGGCTTTTTCTTTCCAGCAATCCAAAGTTTGAGGCAGAACAGAGATCGTGCAGTGAGCATTCTATTAGAGCTTTTCCCCCTCATGCAAATTAAAGCAAAGGATACTTTTACATTTAGGGAAAGGAATAAACTCATGTAACAGGATATTTTTGTTCCTTAAACATAAAAAGTGGCTGAGGATGAAGTGACACATGAGGACAGAATTAATGCTAAATAGTAAAATAGCACAAGACCATTAAAAAATCCACAGTAACCTGTAAAAAGCATGACTAAAATAATAATCTCTCTTAATTTGGTTACTCATCCTTATAATTCTTTATGTTTCAGGTCAAATGAAAAGCCAATCACAGAAGACATTTTCTTGCCCTCACCTGTAAGCTTCATCTAAAGACATGTCCATCCTCTTCATGATGTAGGCAATAGCGATGGTGGCAGAGCGGGAGATCCCAGCCAAACAGTGCACTAGGACACATCCATTGGAGGCTTTTGCTTTCTCTGTATGAGTCAAATTCAAGAAAGGTCACTACTAACAATTGTGGTCAGCAGTGGAATCTTGTTTCCATTTATTTACTCAATGTCTTCCACCTGAAAACCGCTAAGCAAATCTCATCTGTTTACATCCTATTTATCCTTGCAATATTCTTCTGAGGAGGTAGGGGAGGAGAATTCCCTCACCACTGACATGCAGGACAGCTAGGGTCGAAAACTCTTTGTTAATAAGCAGTTTGTTAATAAGCAAGCTATTATTCACGTTTCCTGACTTATGTCAATATTTTCCCCTACTAAGACATGGCTAATGTTTAATCATGTTATCTGACATTTCAGATTTTTCCCTGATTACATAAGAGATATAATTAAAATTTTAAATTATTATTAGAGCCTTGCTCTGTTGCCCAGGCTGGAGTGCAGTGGTGCGATGTCGGCTCATTGCAACCTCCACCTCCTGGATTCAAGCGATTCTCCTGCCTTAGCCTCCGGAGTAGCTGGGATTACAGGTGTGCACTGCCACACCTGGCTAATTTTTGTATTTTCAGTAGAGGCAGGGTTTCACCAATTTGGGCAGGCTAGTCTCTTAACTGCTGGCCTCAAGTGATCCACCCACCTCAGCCTCCCAAAGTGCTGGGATTACAGAAGTGAGGCATTGTGCCCAGCCTCCCTATTTTTCTTTAGGCAACTTTTCCGTATGCCATAAAATGGCTCAACTTTATTTACTAAATTTTAGAAGAAAACATTGTATATCCTATGAATCAGGTTTACCAGGTCACTTTAATGAGATCCAAGAGAACTTTTATCCCTTCCTTGATACCCAGGAGTTACTGTCTTATTGCATTATCTTAATACCCCACAACACGGTGGAAGGACTCATGGACACTTTGTTAGAACCAAAGGACTGGGGAAATCCAAGCAGTGCTGCCATCTCTCACTGCTGAGGGGCTTAAAAATACATACATGTAGCAGGGGATGAGGTTATTCCACACAGCCTGGAAGCTACTAACATTCTGGCCAGTTCTATGACTGCCTCAATTCTAAATAGTTACATGTGTGCTCAGTCATGAACGTGAATTCTCCCCTTTACATTCTTGGTAGATACTACCAAAAGTCTACTGAGCCTTGTGTAAAAATTATTACAATTAACAGATATGCAAAGAATCTTACTTTGGCAACTAAATAATACAAGGCTATTCAGTCTCACTGCCTGTTATAAATATTATAAATTTCTAGTGTTATGATTATATATAGCATAATTATTTATCATATACAAAGCAACACAGAGGTTTTGGGTAGTATATGAATAATCAGGCAGCAAGCAGCTTCCCTTTCTAGATAGGGAAACCGAACACAATAAAACAATTACAAATCAATAACAAGCAACACTCAAAGAATTGTATGCTATACAAATGAGAAGGTATAAACTGTGTACGCAGTCTCATGCCTTCCTGTGCCTCCAACGTCCCTTCCTTCTTAGCTATCATGTACCCCATGGTACTCTCAGTGCTTCCCTCCCCTTTTGCCCTGCTGCTAAGAAGCTCAAAGCTAAGGTTTCTACTCTATTTCAGTAAGAAGTTGCAATTCAGATTTTTTTATCAGTTACTTTACCTTTCCTAGCCCCATATTAGTTGATTCTTGCTTTTTTAAATCCCATTTTAATGTGTATGTGTGAGAATATGTGTATATTTTGGTCCTAACCTATTATTGAAAACTGCTTCAAATCCTTACTGGAAGTAGGCTGGGTTTGTTTTTGTTTTTTAACGTTGACAGTACTCTCATTAATTTTCATAATTATCTCAAAAACTAGATTATAAGGACCTAGAAGGATCTTGCTTGCTTCTACCAGCATTCCCCTAAGGGATTTAATACTAGGCACATAGTAGGCATTCAGCTGATACTGGCTAACTGATATATATATTTTTGAAAGCCATTTTTATAAAAAATATGAAGAAGGCTGGAAGGAAATAAAACAGTGACAGTAACATGTGTTACGATGTTGAGGTTACAGGTTTCTTTTTCTCTGTTTTTCAAATTTTCTGCAATGTGCTTACGACTGCTTTTACAACCACAACTCTTTTGATGACGTCTTTTAAAAATTAACAAGTGACTAAACTGAAGTTGAGGTTCATAAGCATACATCTTGGGAGACACGAGCTCTAAACTATGTCTTCAAGCAAGAGAATTAATACAGACCTGGAAGAGAGGAGAAGGGAAGTGTGTGCAAGAAAGCCCTGCAGTGGGACTGAGCAGAGTGCTCAGAAAACAGCCTGCCTTGGAGAAGTAACCAGAGAGAAGGTTTCAAAGGTGGGGAGCAGGTGCTGGAGGCTATTGGAAATGTCAGGCTAAGGGCTACATTTCTTTTTTGAAACAGGATCTCACTCTGTTCACCCAGGCTGGAGTGCCATGGCGTAAACATAGCTCACTGTAACCAAGAACTCCTAGGCTCAAGCGATCCTCCTGCCTTAGCCTCCCAGCTAGGACTATAGGTACACACCACCATCCCTGGCTAATTTTCAAAATTTTTTTGTAGAGACAGGATCTTACTATATTGACCAGGCTGGTGTTAAACTCCTGGCCTCAAGCAATCCTCCTGCCCCTGCTTCCCAAAGTGCTGTGATTACACACGCTGCACCTGGCCAAAGCTACCTTTTTAATGTAGAAAACTAAGGAGGCTCTTCGGGTTTCTGAATAAAGAATAAGAAGGCAATGATGATGAAAACTGGAAATAAGCAGGTGGCCATTACAGAAATTAAGGCTAAAATCTAGGTTAAGAAAGGGCAGAGAGAACTGCAAATGAAAAGGGCCAAGACGCAGTGAGGATGACAAGTTACAAAGGCTAAAAAGAAGTAAGTAATAACTAAGAGGGGTTATAGAATCCAGCTCAAAGGACAGAAAAAGGGAGGAACTTCAGATAACAATTTAAAAAACACTTATTAATATCCAATTTTGAGTCCAGTATTTTTACAAGGTGTTCAATGCACATAACATTATCTATTTTACTTCTTTTTATCTTCTCTTTTTGGTTTTCTTTTTTTCTTTTTTCATTTTACATTATCTATTTTAATCCTTACAATATCCCTATAAGGTAGGTAAATTATCTTCAGTTTCCAGATCAGAAAACTGAGGTGCACGAAAGTTTGAAGTAACTGAACTCAAACCACTTTGCTAACAACCAAGGCAGGCAGGACTCAAATACAGACAGCTTGCCTCCAAAATACATGGTCCTAATCACCTTCCTGTGTTGTGTCCATGCAGTTGTGAGTTTGGCATAGGAGAGCAGGAGTCCAGGAGACAGTGAAGAGGAAGCAAGAGGCTGTATTCATAGCTAGCCGGGTTTGGGAGCACCTCATGAGTATGCCACAGCACAAATGGGCAAACTCTGTTACTGGCACATTAACTAAAAAGAAAGACAAAATTCCACATAAACCTGAGTCTGTCCAACAAACCCGGAGACTAACTGAAATCTAATCTAAATAACAAAAGGAAAAAACCCTATGAGTCTATAGGTCACTTAAGGGGGTACATCTTCAAATGACATGCTATGACTAACCATGGCTTAAAACACCATGAAGGAGAAGACTAGCCATTATAGTGAATATGGGCTGAATTCAAAAAGTGGCCTGGAGATTTTGCCTTGAATTACTTGGATGGGATAAGGATGATGGCTCTAATAGGACCAAGCAAATGAAATACTGATACGTATTTGCAGATATTGCAAACAAATTGTGTTTTGTGTGCATGTGTTTAACCAAACTGCAAAGCAGTTAAAGTTCTTCTCTATGAATGCAAGTGGCATGATGACCCCAATATCTCCCAAGAAAGGAGAAAATAAGTTGGGAGCAAAGTTATTCATATTCTCTCTTCTAACTTTTCCTACTAAACTTTCTCTCCTAAAGCCTACACATTGTCATGACTTAAGAAAATCATGTTCTCTTCTAGATAGATTTTGAAATCTCATTTTTAGCTGAAATGAGAGCCAGTGTCTCTGGATCAATGTGATGTGCAATGGGAACATTAACCATAATTGTTTTGTTTTGTTTTTTTTGAGTTAGAGTCTCATTCTGTCACCAAGGCTGGAGTGCAATGGTGTGGTCTCGGCTCACTGCAACCTCCACCTCCTGGGTTCAAGCAATTCTCCTGCCTCAGCCTCTCAAGTAGTTGAGATTACAAGTGCCTGTCACCATGCCCGGCTAATTTTTATATTTTTAGTAGAGCCAGGGTTTCAACACGTTGGCTAGCCTGGTCGTGAACTCCTGACCCTCAGCCTCCTAAAGTGCTGGGATTACAGGTGTGAGCCACCGTGCCCGGCCAACTGTTATTTTTTAAAGAGGCAAAAACTGAATGATTTGCTGAATGTTTTCTAAAAGTACAATGTGGGGGGAGGGGTTAACTTGTGGGGGTTTGTTTGCCTTTTTTTTTTTTTTTTTGAGAGATGGAGCTTCACTCTGTCGCCCAGGCTAGAGTGCAGTAGTGCAATCTCGGCTCACTGCAACCTCCACCTCCTAGATTCAAGTGATTCTCCTGCCTCAGCTTCCCAAGTAGCTGGGACTACAGGAGTATACCACTGCGCCCAGCTAATTTTTATATTTTTAGTAGAGACGAGGTTTCACTATATGTTAGCCAGGCTGGTCTAGAACTCTTGATCTCAGGTGATCCACCTGCCTTGGCCTCCCAAAGTGCTGGGATTACAGGCAAGAGCCACTGCCCTGGCCGTTTGTTTGTGATTATTTTAATGTGAACTAAGTCATTTATCTTCAGATGTTTCACAGAATGAATCCTAATTGACGATGGAACCCTCAGCAACCTGGAAACCTTGAAAAAAGACAAGTGTTTTAGAATTACTCAAAGTTCCAAAAGCATTACCTAGAATATTCCCCTCACAGGTGAAAATTATAGTATGGTGCTTAATATACCTAATTCCACTTTTTTTGTTTTTGAGACAGGGTCTGGCTCTATTGCCCAGGCTGGAGTTTAGTGGCACAATCTCTGCTCACTGCAACCTCCGCCTCCTGGCTCAAGCAGTCCTCCCACCACAGCCTCCTGGACAGCTGGGACCACAGATGCACTGGTAGAGACAGGGTCTTGCTATGTTGCCCAGGCTGGTCTTGAACTCCTGGGTTCAAGTGATTGCTTGGCTCGGCCTCCCCAAAGTGCTGGAATTATAGGCATAAGCCACCATGCCTGGCCAATTCCACTTTTTTAAAGGCACTGGTTCTTTTATTTTTAAAGATGGTAACCAATTCAGAGTATTTAATTATGGATTAAAGTGATCAAACTTACATAACTAAGAGAAAAAAAAATCCTCACATGGAACATCAAGAGTCACACACTGTGGTATGTTGCTCAGGAGCTTGCAGTGTTTCTCCTCTGC